AACGGATTTCTGTCTGTTTCATTTCTGACTCAATTTATTTCTCTATAAAAACGGACTAAGTGTTCAACACAGGTGTTAAATTCCTTGCTAAAGTCCATTTGCACTGTAAACATACACACACCTTTTGTAAGGTCAGGCCGAAAGGCTTTTGAACTACATTAGCAACTCACACTGAATCCTTTGAACCGAAGCCAAATGACTGACAGCAAACAATATTAAAATGCATGAGCAATTCTAACAAAGAGCTATGAAATACACCAAAGGGTACACGCAGCCATTTGCGAGCAGTGTTTTAAAAATGCCACACGAATGTCGATCCTTTCAAATGGTGGGAGACATATCAAAATGTCTCATTTGAATGAGTCACGATCAAACATATTGCATTATGAGTCGGTAATATGCGCAGAATGAAAATGCGGTATCCAGCGGGGAGAGAGAGAGAGAGAAAGCAGGAGTGGCGATAGATGTTTGAGGGGGTCGATGGACAGGCAAAGTGTTTGCCCACTGGCCGCCTCTGAGGGAAAGTGTGTATGAGAGGAAAGAGCACTCACACATTCAGCCTTGGGCAAGGTGACTGAGGGGAGACAGTGAGTGACAACTGCAGTTGAACTAGAGGATATTCAAACTGATGGGACAGAATAATGAACCGAGTCCTCAGGAATTAGTACCACATAGACGTCAAAACCCCAGGGAAGACAAATCCACACAAGCAGGATGTCACAGAGTGTTCATAGTATATAAAAAAAGAGGATATTATCTATAGATGGATATATCAGCCAGGCTGATTAAATGGGAGATATTTTGAGATTAGCAGACAGAAACTGTGCAGGATGACCGAAAACGGGCATTTTACTTGGTGTCAGTATAAAAAAAGTATGAAAAGCTTTATGCACATCATGCACATGAACGGTTTTCAAAACTATCTTTAAGGTTTAGCTTGTTATAGCCTTAAAATGAATGGATTTGGTATCATCGTTTCAGTTTTTGCTGCAACATTTCACATTTAATTCCGTGTGTTACTTGCCATTACTTTGTTATTGTTTGCAAAAATTTCTTATCAGTTTTTGATAGAAAACTGTTTCAAAGCCATTTTTGTCAGTGTACTGTAACAACAACAAAAAACTGTATTTTTACAGCATTTATGCATATATGTTCACGTATCTATATTATATTTATTTGAGGTTGTCCAGATTTTATGTTTTTGAAAGAAATCTCTTGTGTTCACCAAGGCTGTATTTATTTGATCAAAAAATAAACAATTAAATAAATACATGCATACATACATAAATAAAAGTAACAGTATACAAAGACAGAAATTATTACAACAGAAATTATTATTATTAGAATTTAAAATAACTGTTTTATATTTTAATATATATTAAAATGTCAATTATTCCTGAGATGGTAAAGCTGAATTTTTAGCAGGGTTTTATTTATTTTTTTTATGCATTTTTACTCCAGTTTTCAGTATCACATAATCTTTCAGAAATCATTCTAATGCTGATTTGATGCTCAAGAAACATTTCTTAGTATTGCCAATGTTGAAAATAGTTGTGCTGCTTAATATTTTTTTGTGGAAATCTTTTTTTTTTTTTCCAGAAAGTTGTTCATACATAAATAAAAGTAACAGTATACAAAGACAGAAATTATTACAACAGAAATTATTATTATTAGAATTTAAAATAACTGTTTTATATTTTAATATATATTAAAATGTCAATTATTCCTGAGATGGTAAAGCTGAATTTTTAGCAGGGTTTTATTTTTATTTTTTTATGCATTTTTACTCCAGTTTTCAGTATCACATAATCTTTCAGAAATAATTCTAATGCTGATTTGATGCTCAAGAAACATTTCTTAGTATTGCCAATGTTGAAAATAGTTCTGCTGCTTAATATTTTTTTGTGGAAATCTTTATTTTTTTTTCCAGAAAGTTGTTCAAAAGATCAGCATTTATTTCAAACAAACATTTTGTAACATCATAAATATATGAGTGAGAGATAGAATGAGGGATGGAGAGGGGGAGAGAGGGACATGGAGAGCTGACACTCTCAGCATGCTAATGCCCAAAACACACTCCCATCTCCCCCCGTTTTCCTTTTTGTCACTCTCTTCATCACACACACACAGGTGCGGTAACCTCTCTCCATTCCACATTCTCTCCAGGCAGTCAAAACAGCAAATACACAAGCCCGACGGGAGAGCGAGAAAGAGAGAGAAAACCACAGTAGGAGGGAAAAGAGAGGGATAT